AGTGAAATATCTCAGTCACAAAAGGACAAATACTGAATAGTGCCACTGTTGTAAAACAGGACTGACCTTGGGGTTGGGGACAGACTGAGAAAGATGGGTTCAATAATGTATACTGCATTGAAACAGATAAGGGAGAAAACTGTTTAAAAGGGATATGTGATAAGGTATCATTGGCATGACAGGAGTCCAGAATGAAGGCTGCATAGTGGAGTGCACTTGGGGAGGAGGGATTGTATAACAATGAAATAATTTTTCTTTTACTTTTCAAAAAGAAGAATGAATTGGGGGGGAGGGAGAGGTGGGTGGGGAGAAAAGTGCAACAATGAATGAATGAAAATCCTCAGTCTCTGTAAACATTCATTAAAATTAATAATCATTTTAAAAAATTGAAAAAAAAACCCAAGCTTAGAAGCAGAAGTGGCATCCACTTCCATAACAGCTTGTCTCCGGAAACTCTATGAACTTGGAGAAACGATGTAAGTTATACAAATGTTTAGATCTTTCGTTCATAGGGTCACTAAGAGGTCTCTACAACTCGATGGCACTTAACAACAACAATAACCACAATTCATAACTGTAGCACAGCCGGTAGGGAGCTCTGGTAGCTTAGTGGTAAGAAGCTGCACTGTAATTCCAGAGGCACTTGGTTCACATCCACTAGCTACTATGCAGGAGAAGGATGGGCAACCTGCTCCCACACAATTTAGTGTCTCTGAAAACCTGCTGGAAGGTCAGCTGTGGGTTCCAACTCAATGGCACACACAACAGCACAGCAGATACACAAAATTATAGCATATACACTAATGGATGAGTAAGAGGAAAACTTTTTCTGGCCAATAGATCAATATCAAAATACTGAGTCAAATACCAAAAAGAAAAGAACTAAATAGGTGTCTGACGGCCTACTGGTAAGATCATGTATGGGCGTTAGCTATGAATCAGTTCCAACTAAAAGACACATAACAACAGTAGGATGAAAAGAACTCAATCAACCCCAAAGTTTTTCACTCACATTTATAAGGGAAAAACAAAGAAAAAGATAAAAATTCAAATGCCGAGTTGCACTGTTGACATCTTGAAGGTGAATGCTATGAATGAAATTTAAGTATTTCTTGCTAAAACTTCTGTCAAGAATCCTCTGGATACTCTTCCTATAAGCAGCCACCTGAGCATGTTAACATACAGAAAAAAGAAAAAAAAAGCCTCCCTTTTAATGAAGCATACCAAAGTAATAGGAGAATATTTCATTTAAAATACAAGAGATAAAGCAGCAGCTTAAAAGTTTAAAAATCTTAATACTAGACATAGACTTATACCTATGACTTCAGGCAAAACACTAAAATTTCTGAAATCTCACCTCCCTCCTCTATATTATATTGTGGAGCAAATATCTGAGAATACAGACTATTCCATTGGTGGTGGTGGTGGTGTTATATGCTGTCGAGTTGATTCTGACTTACTGACTCTATGAACAACAGCTCTGAACCCTACCCTATCCTGAGTATCACTGTCTCTGACACACCTGATTCTACTACCATAGTCACTGTATCAATCCATCTCATCCAGGGTCTTCCTCTTCTGGACTGATTCTCCACCCTTTCAAGTATGATGTCCTTCTCCAAGGATTGGTCCCTCCTGGCAACATGCCCAGAGTATGTGAGACAGAGCTTCAAAATCCTTGCCTCCAAGGATTTTGGTTTTATCCTCTCCACAACAGAACTATTTGTTCTCTTGACAGTCTATGGTATGTTCAATACTCACTCTCCTCTAGCACCACAACTCAAAGGCATTGACTCTTCTTCTGTCATCCTGATTCACTGTCCAGTTCTCACACGCATAGCACTTGAGAAGACTATGGCCTGGATCATGTGCACCATAGTCTCTAAACTGACATCATTGCTTTTTAGCACTCTAGAGGGATCCTTGACAGCAGATTTTCCAATGTAATTTGTCTTTTGATTTCCTGACTGCTGCTGATGCCAAGAATGCTAACTGTAGATCTAAGAAAAATGAAATTATGAACAACTTCAATCCTTTCTCCATCTATCATGATACTGCCTACCGGACCCATGATGAGGATCTTTGTTTTCTTAAGGCTGAGATGCAAACTATGTTGAAGTCTACAGTCTTTGACTTTTTGCAGAAAAAAAAAACAACTTTGCCTTTATTTCGGCAAGCAGTTGTGTCATCTGCATTACACAGGTTGTTGATGAATCTTCTTCCTCCAATCCTGATGATGCATTCTTCTTCATAAAGGCCAACCTCTCAAGTAATCTATGTGATCATTCTACATCACGTGATATGATCTACATCCCCTTTAGTACGTATATGTTTGTCTATCGTTTGATCTGGGTACAGAACTTGTCTGTTTGATGCTATGCTGAAGCACAGCTCCCAAGTTAAGACAGACTAGGAAGGACTGGCCATCCACTTCTGAAATAACAGGCCTTCAAAAACCCTATGAATAACAGTGCACACCTTAGTCTATCAAACAGCACTGAAGGCTGAGCCCTCATACTGGGAAACAAAAATAAGGAACAGTTACTAACAGCCACTAAAAATTGGAATGCAGAATGTACTAAGTATGAATGTAGGGAAATTGGACATTGTTAAAAAAGAAACAGAACATATAAATATGGCCATACAAGGTAGGCACTGGCAAGGTGAGACTGATATCGTTGCTCTTCAGTACTCTGGAGAGGTCCCTGATAGCAAATTTTCCCAATGACATTTTTCTTACCCACTTTAAATATAATGGTATGAAAGCAGAAAACCAAGTCCACTATTGTTGAGTTTATGCTGACTCACGGGAACTCTCCAACAGGTTTCCAAAACTGCAAATCTTTACCGGAGGAGACTGCCCTTTTTCCTCCCAAGAAGACAGCAGTGGACTCAAACTGCAAGCCTATCAGTTAGAAGCCCAACATATAACATACGACGCTAACAGGACTACTCAACAGTGGTATCACTCATTCACTCAAACTGCCTGTTAAATCAATTCTGACTTATATCAACTCTTCACTGGGTTCTAAAACTGTACATCTCAAAAGGAGGAGATTGTCCATCTTTCTCCTCCAGAGCAGCTAGTGGATTTAAATCCCTAGAGATGAGATGGCAACATAACACACTATAGACTATGCCACCAGAGTTCCTTTAATAACTGTATAGCTACGTTTTAAAAGTCAAAAGTATTGAATGAAACTCTATTCAAAATCACCAAAAACTGGAATACAAATATTCTTTAAGGGTGAATGACTACAATGAACTATTATTTAACATTTTAAAAAATCTAATTATTGATATATGGAACAACATAAATGAATCTCTAAGACACCATGCTGAGGAAAAGAAAAGGGTTATATACTTCATAACTCCACTTATGTGGCGTTCTGGAAAAGGCACATTAAGGATAAAAGACAGTCTATAAAACTATAAAGGAAGGTGCTTTTTGAGTCCTAACTGGGTGTTATGTTAGTTACATGCCTATGCACCTTTACACAGGAATCTATGGTGACTTAATGGTAAGAGCTGTGCTGCCATCTCAAAGGGACACAGTTTGAATCCACCAGCTGCTCCACGGAAAAGACAGGCAACCTCTTCCCTTATGATTTTATTGCCTCTAAAAACTCACTGGAGGGTCTGCTATGGGTCAGTTCTGACTTCATGTTACTTAATAACTCCATGGTTACCAATGGATGTTTTAGTTAAGCACTAAACTGTTAGCACTACATAGTGCAAAAAATTAAACGTACTATTAAAAAAAATTTTTTAAAAAATAAAACATTTAAATGGCAGCTTGAACCCACCCAGAAGTACCTAAGAATAAAGTATTAGCTATCTGGTTCCTAAAAATCGCAGCCTTAAAAACGCTATGGAGTGCAGATTTACTCTGCAACATCACAGAAACGGGTTTGTTTGTTGTTGTTTGCATACATGGTTATATAACACTCAAAAAACTATATATCTAAAAAGTCAACTTCACAGTATGTTAATTTTAAAAATAAAGTAAAATAAAAAATAAACAGATGATCTTCAAGGACCTTTCCAGACTATGA